TTTCAAATGATAGGCGAAGGTGAGCCGGTTATCAATAACTCCTAAATATTTGTAAGAGCTTTCATGTGGAACAACTTCCTCTTAATTTTGATCTCATTATTGATAATTACACTTTTTCTGTATCATCTAAAAAGAACAGCACAACATTTGCTTGAGTTTAAATTTATCTTCCAATCCTCACTCCATTTATTAATGTTAACTTTTAACTGCAGTTTGTCCATGGCCAGTAATGGGCTAAGTGAATCCGCGAGGACGACCGTGTCGTCTGCATATCTAAAAATTTTACTGTTAAAAGGGCTTGTCAAGTCGTTAATATAGATGTTGAAAAGACAGGGGGCGAGAACCGCTCCCTGTGGGACTCCACTATAAATTATTTTCTTGCAAGAAATAGCATCTCCACACTTGACTTGAAAAGTCCTGCGTTTAAGATATGAAATAAGGAGCTAGATGAAACTGACTGGAAGCAGAAACTTGCTAAGTTTGTGGATTAGTCCTGCCTGCCACACTCGATCGAAAGCTTTTTCGAAAACAGTATTAACTGCATTATTGTATAGCAACTATTCACACTGGCAACAGAAATCAAGGACAGTTACTACCAATTTGATCTAACGGAATAGCTGTGTGGATGCTGTGTAAGAAAGATGTTAGCTCATGGAATTTTAAGGCAATTAATGATGTTTAACATCACTGAGGTAATATTGTAACAAAGCGAAAATGGGTTAAAAGAATAATGAATTTCAGTAAACTTAAATAGATATGAGTGAGTATTGCAGAGTATTATCCGAAGAAATCAGTTTGTTTCTGTTTTTAGAAGAAGCAATTAATTCGGTTCAACTGATTCATTGTTTGCTCTAGTACCGTTCATTCAGCTTGAGATGAAATGTATGAATTGCTGGGAATGCATCATAGTATTTAAAAGGCAAAATGACTGATGTTCATTAAAAGTATAGGAAAGACATGATACTTGTGGCATTCTGATCTCATTCCAACTGAACACCTGTTATTTCTGTTAGAATGGCCTTTGCAGTTTTACTTGCTTCATCCAAAATCAGTACCTAACTAGTCAGCTGCTATTATAAATAATAAATTTTGTCAAATTCAATTATAAATATCTAGAAACTTACATTACAAATTTAAAAAAAAAACTGAATACTATAAAAGATGATTAATTAATACTACTGTTAAAGAATATTTCTCATTTGACATTTATATTTTATTGAATATCAACCAGCTGTTTTGCTGTTAATGTGTATGGGATAAAGTGACTTTGTAAATCTCTTTATCTTCTTATACGTGTTACTACCTAAAACTTAATTATATAACATAGACTTCATTTTATCGTACATTTATTTTCACAAGTGAAATATTAAGTTTCTGATAATTCTGCCAAGTATCTGATACTTTATTTGCACCACATCTATTTATTTCAAAGTATTTCATCAAGGTACTCAAGGTCAAGCTTTCATTAAGGTCTCCTGATGTAATGATAATGGACTGATTAAAAATATTTCTCTTTTTGTAAGATCATTAAAAGATACAAGTGCATATTTTTCTTCACAATATGTTATAAAAGAATGGGTATGCTTTTTTTGTTGTTGTTGTTATTTTGAGAAATCTACTTTATTAGTCTTTATATAATGGGGGGGCATTACCATTGCAGGCAAATGGCATGGCTCTTATGCAAATAAAATATGTGTATGAAATGTGAGAAACTAAAACAACCCAACGTCCAAAATAAGGTATTTAATTCATTTCATTAATTTTCACTTAGTAAACTTAAACTGATCAATGTTGAAGCATAATTATTTTATTTCTTTTAGTTAAAAAACTTAATAATGTTATTCAAAAACAAAAGAAAAATAAATAGAGAAAAATATTGTACTGATTGTAGTAAATGATTTTATTAAGAAAATCATCAAAGTTAGATTTGCTTTTGAATGCTTTGCAGGAAGGGCTGCTGTGTTTCTGAGTCATTACTACTAAAGTAGAGTGGTCTATGAGCTAAGCAGAAAACACATGTATTGCATCAGAAACATTTAATATCATATGGAATTTGATATAAGTTAAAAATAATTTAGAAGTTGATTTGTCAATTGATGAAAAATTATGGCAGTTGAAAGCTTTGGAAATTTCTAATTAATCTGATGAGAGTCACAATTTAGAAGTTGATGTTACCTTTAGAAAATTTCGTAAACCTATAAAATTTAAGGACAACAAATATATGGGTTTCTTGCTGTGGAATAAGTGTGCAAGGGAAGCATACAGAAAATGATTTGAGTCACTGTGTTGCAGATTTAAGAAGGATTTTAAGTTTCATGAGCATTAAAAGCTTTGATAAATCAACATTTACAAAAAGGTATCGCAAAATAATCTCTGTATTTAAAAACTGTAAAAGATTATTTTTTACTGCATCAAGCTGTAATTAGAGAAATCAAAATTGCCACAAAACTTTGTGTTATCTCTGATTCATCATCATATGCTGAAGGTAAACTGTCATTGAGTAATTGTTTAGAATGAAGACATTTCTTTCCATTTGAAAATTTTACTATTGTTAAAATGATATAAATAAGGACTTGCAGATTTTGGAAAATCTAGTTGCATTTCTCAAATTTTCCTGGATTTCAACATGTGGCTCTTGCTGACATGAAATTTGATCCTTCCTGTTATATGGGGAACTAGAAAAGTTAAATCAGTGCTACTTTCTATGTAATCTGTCTCCTTGTAATTCAAATTAGGTTGGATCTAAAAAGATAGCTTTTGCCTGCAGTATTCAATAACCCATTCCAATCCAAACCATACACACTATCTGGCTAAAAGTATCTGGACACCCCCCTAAAGGAGTGGATCTGGCAGGTGATGTAATTTGATGTGTAACCGAAAGCTACAAAAGTGTTGGTAATGGTTTGTCAGGTCATATTTATGCATTTGTTAGACTTGCCGGATGCCCAGCAAGCATTTTTTAAATGACTGCCTTCTGCTTACTGTAAAGTTTGGTGGTGGCTGCATCATGGTGTGAGGGTGTTTTTCATGGTTTGGCCTGGGTATAGTTCCTGTGGTTGGAAACATGAACTCTAAGATGTATGTAGACATTCAGGACAATGCTGCTATCCCAACTTTATGACTTTTTTGGGGAAATATCCATTTCTCTTACATCAGGATAACTGGCTCCATTCATACATCAAGACTTGTACAGCCATGGTTTGACGAAATGGGTGTTTATAAACTGGGTTGGCCTTCTCAAAGCCCATAGTACCTCGTAGAACATCTTTGGGATGAATTAGAATGCACATTATGTAGACAGCTAAATCACCATCCTCACTGCCAGCACTCACTTCAGCTGTGATGGATGCCTGGAAGTCAATTCCTGTGACCACCCATCAAAACCAGTGGAAGGTCTTCCCAGACATGTGCTGGCTGTCATTGATGCACAAGGGGGAGCAGTATCATATTAATATTGTTACATTATTTTTCTTTTTTTCACATTCGTATGTATGGGTTCGTCGGATTAGAAGTGAATAACGACGACACTTGATAAAGTATTGAAACACACTTTATTTACCAGTATTAATCAGGACAGCTCCAAAATCACGTTTACAGTTGTCGAAGAACTACTATAAACACACTGACACTATCAGCGACACAGCCTCCAGGTTATCAGGCTATAACGGTGGAGACAGCTTTACTGCAAAACACGAAAGTACAGCTCCTGACTCTGCTCGGTTGTTCTTGGAACTCGACGTACTCTCAGGACTCTCCACACTACAGTTTGCAATGCACTCGACGATACACTAGAGTACAGCTCCCGACTCCTCAATTCAGTCTTTACTAGAGCTCAACACACTCTCTCGACGATGCATTAACCACGATACACTAAGGGAGTCTTTCGGTGCACTGAATGACCACTCAGCACTTGCTGACCAATTGTAAACTTGATGAACTCTCTAACTCGACACAAACTGACTAACTATACCAGCAGGGTTTATCTAGCTTTTGGCTTGTGTTCAAGAACATTCTGGCCCAAATCAGTAAGAAGTTGTTCCAGAAGGTTCTCCATCCATCTATAGTATATATATGTTGTCAAATGTGGCAGCCCTGCCTTTCCTTGCCATTTTCTGGCAACCCTAAACCTGATTTGCCGGGAAGCTATCTTACCCTACCTGTACATTTCGTAACAGTATATACCTCAGGACTCTTCAAATCCATATTAATGGGTGTCCGGATACTTTTGGCCAGATAGTGGATCTATGCTGTCTTTATTAATATGATACTCCACTTTGGACATTCTGAAATCGTGGAGCTTAATGCATATAATTTTACATATCTAGTGGTTATGCAATGAAACTTCTCTAAAATATTACCCATGTTCTTGACAGTGTTGATCTATGGAGTTGGTTGCATTAGGGAATATAGCTAATGATAATACCATTATCTTTTTTTGGCTAATGATGGTCACTTTCAAAAGTGGCCACAAAGAGATGATTCACAGTACTTTTTCTTACCATTTCTTCTGTTGAAGTTCAACAGTTATGAAGGTGGAGGAACTCGCCTATAACTCAAAGAGTTTATCTGAAAGTTTGATGATAATCTTAAGATCTAGTGACTGAAGATATTTAGTTAATTCTTTCATTTCATATTATTCAGAACTACTTGGGACAGTTCTGAAGCACTGTGGAGAATCAGACATCTGAAACTAAAGACATTTTTCAGAAAATAATGCTTGCATTATAGAATGCACATAATACTGGAGGTAGTTTATATGTGCCTTAGCTGTAAATGATTTTACAAAAAGTTTATTTATTCTTTTACAAACTGGATTCTTTTATTTCTGCGTGTATTCTTTTTTATAACCTCAGTAACAAATATTTTGCTTATCCCAATATGATTTAATGTATCTAATTTGTGAAATATCTGTGTTATCAATTATATCAGTTTTTGCATAAAGTTTCATTGCATGAATTGAGGAAAATATTTATTATTTTGTTTTAAATATTTATTATTAGGAGAATTTAAAGATATTTCTCAAGCATTTACGAAAGAAGAATTGGATAAAATTAAGAACAAAATGAGATTAGAGCTAAAACGCTGGAGTCAAGTTGAGTAAGCAAAAATCTGTTATTTGTACAAATACTTTAGCATCCTTTTGCCATAAAATAAGCACAGTAAATAAATCTTGTAAGATTTACATTAAAAACAGAACCACTATTTCACTTATTCAGTGAAGAAATGCATGTAAATTATATGCCAAAGACCATAAGAATCCATATTACATATTTGGGATTATAATCATTTTCTTTGACTCATATAATTTAAAATGAGAAAATAAAGAATGAAAATATTATGATATGAGAAACTGAAAAATGGCTAGAAAGATGCTAGGCAGTTATTTAGTGTAATTATGTATGTTATTTAAATTAGATAACAACCTGTATTTATATGGTTTTCTAAAGAATTCATTCCTTTCTTTTTCATCATTTTATACGAATTACTTCTTTTTCGTAAAAAAGTATATTGTATAGTTTTATAGAAATAAGGATTGTAATTTTTTTTACAACTTTTATTCATTATTTTAGAAATTTTATTTATATTTCCTCTTGATAACACATTAAAGTGGGATGCCAAATAAATGAAAATAAGTGTTTTCTTTGTCTACTTCTTTTTGCTTTCAAACAAAGTTCTAGAGCTACGAAAATAACTATGACATTTGTGCAGTGTATGGAGAACATGCCTTTACTAAAAGAACTGCGTAGAAATGATTTTCATTCTTTGAAGTAAAGCATTGAACTTACAGATTCATCCACAAGAATTCATGAATTCTTTGGGAAACTGGCCTAGTAGATAGAATTTTTCCATGAACAAAAGAAACAGACTCAAACATACTACTATCACTGCAGGTTTGCTTGCTTAACATCATTTTAACTGTGGACTTAAGCAAAGATTACTTTATTGCATCACCAATGTTGATGAAAAATATTTTTTTTTTTTAAAAATCAATATGAAATAATGATAAGCATGTCTGAGTCCTGACAGGTAAGCAACATTTCGAACGGAGACAGAACTGCATACATGTGAGAGAATGATAAGTATTTGATGAGGCTAAAAAGGTGCAATCTGTAAGGAAGTCTTTAAAGCAGTATGGTGAATGCAGAGCTACGTTCATTGTGAAATGCAACTGCTCAACAAGATAAACCAATTGAAACAACTGGACCAGGACATGTTATTCTTTTTCAACATGATAGCACTCACCCACCATGTCACTAAATTTTATCTAAATTGGTATCTATGAACTCAATGTTCATGACTGAGAAGTTCTAGTACACACATCATACTGAATCTAATTTAGGGCTTCATATTGTTGTGCTTTCTGAGCATTATGTTATTTCAATATGAAAAGCATTTTTTTAACAGTGTTGTAGAGTGTTGTAGTGGTAATTTTTTCAAACCGAATAGTGGGAAGATCTGCTACAGAGACATTAACACATTAGTGAAACATTGGCAAGAAGTCATAAGAAAATATATAATTGCTTGATTCATTAACATTTTTGCTGAAAACAAAAGATAAAAATAATTGCAAAAAGTGGTGTTCCCCCCCCCCATTAATGGGTTTCTTTCTTCTTTTCAGCATTTTGATTTTGTAACTGTAGTTATAGGATTTCATGATCAATCAAAAAGCATTCTAGTTCCTGTAAAATAGTTGTCAGATATATTAAGGAACACATATAAAAGTTATTTGTTTTAAACTATGCCAAAAACAGAATCACTGTATGTTTTTAATTTTTTAATGAATGTAAACTATCAAATAGTATACATAAGTATTACAATAAGAATGTTAAATTAGTCAAAATTTGTCCTAGACTGATATTAGTTTTAAAGAAAGGCTGAGTGGGTTTTGTGAGAAACTGATATAGATGTCTTTTTTGTCAAGGGGCAAAATTATTTAATATTTTTATCCTTTTTAGAATAATTTTCTTGAATAAGAGAAACATGTATAAGATTCTGATAATGATGCTACTAAAATTAATGTTTCTTTCCTCTAAAATTAATGTTAGTGTGATATTGAACTTGGCCTGAATTTACTCTTTAATACATTGTAGAATGATTTACTCGAAAAGGAGAGATCTATGTAAGATTTTGACACCAGCATCCCCCCTCCACTTTGAAATGAATGCTAGTTTAATGTTGAACTCAACCTAAATTCAAATAATTGAATACTTCTATCATTATGAGAGAAATTACATTTTTAATTTTCTAACTTTTAAATAACTGTATATTGTATAATTCTAAGGCATATAAATAAATGTACTTACTAGATTCATTTGGCTTAGAATTATTATTATTATTAAGAATTCTTGTAAACTGAGGATTTCAGTTTTTCAAGAGTTTGTTTTTAGGAATGGTGAATGATATACAGTCTGTATTCACTGCTTCAGCCTGTGTTTATGTTAATTATTATATATATTAATGATAAACAGTAATTAAAAATTATTACGGATTTCTGTGCATAATTATCTGTTCCATACTTTAAAATACCTTAGAAACAGTTCAGTGCGTTTAATTAATAATTTTTCTTCAGGTATGACCATCACAATAGTTTGGCATATCTTGTGGGAAGACTTGCTGCTAATTATGCTTCAGCATTTAAAGTATTTTATGAAGTATGTCTTTTTTCTTGTTGCTTTTATGAACTAGTTTGTTTTGTTTGCATTTTACTTAACTTTTGCTTATTATTGTTGCTTTCATATTTTATAAATTTAGCTAAAAAATAGAGCTTGTGATTTTGAGCCCAAAACATTTTTCGATTTTGGTTCTGGTGTTGGGTCTGCTGTTTGGTAAGTGAATTAAAAGTACTTTGATGATGTTATTATATCTGTATGATAAAATATACTTAAAAAATCTTTGTAAAATGCAAAATATAATATTCTTATGTATTAAAAAACTTTGATTAATGCCAATTAATTAACATGTTTTATGTGCATTAAGGGAAATTCCATTCCGTAACTGCTAAAAACAATAGGAATGATTATTATTCATCTAGCAATTAGCTTTCCCCTCCCCTTTAGTTTAAGGAAAATAAGTGAAATACGAGGGCTATCCAGAAAGTAGATTACGTTTTGGAATAAAAAAATAAAAAAATTTTATTATTACAGATGAAAGCCCACACTCAATACTTTTACATAGTCACCATACAAATTAAGGCCTTTTTATCGTAGCGATGTTACGAGCTTGGAAATTCCTTCGTCGAAAATTTCGGCCGCCTGCGCCTTCAACCCTTCTTACCTCTTTCGCGCTGTGCGTCGTCATCAAACGCTGCATAGCCAGCCACTTCTTCATTGCTGGGAATAGGTGGAAGTCGCTCGGTGCAGGTCGGGACTGTACGGCGGATGAGGAAACAACTCCCACTTTAAAAGATTCAAGAACTTTACGAGTGACGTTGCCGTGTGGGGGCCGGGCGTTGTCGTGAATCACAAGATCTTAGAGCTCAACATTCCTCTGGCTTTGTTTTGAATTGCTCTTCTGATTTTTGGAGAGTTTGGCAATACCTTTGAGAGATGTTTATTTGTAGTGCCTCTTCCAGGAAGTCCACCAAAATTACACCTTTTCTGTCCCAAAAAACAGTCGCCAATCATCTTCCCTTGCCGACATTGTTTGGCATGCATTTCTTGGGGTTTTTGGGGAGAACTTGTGTGCCCCACTGCATTGATTGCAATTTCGTTTCACAGTTCACATGTTTTCACCCCTGTTTCGTCACCAGTAACGATACGATCGAGTAAGAGAGTCACCATCCTTATGGTAAGCGTCCAAAAAGTCAAACGCTGCAGCCATTCGCTGATTTTGTGGTCCTCTGTCAAGATTTTTGGAATCCATCTTGCACAAACTTGTGGTAACCAAGCTTTTCGCTGATGATTTCGTGCAACAAACTTCGCGAAATTTGTGGAAAACTCAAAGAAAGTTCCGTTATTGTGAAATTTCGATTTTCCCAACGGACTTAGCATCGACTTTTTCGAGAAGTTCGGCGGTCACTATGCTGGGGTCTTTTTCACTCTCTCGTGAACATTGTTCGGAGCAGTTTTGAAATCTTATGACCCACTGACGCACTCCAACCTTCAGTGATAATGTTGTCCCCATACACTTCAGAAGCTGCCGATAGATTTCTATCGGTTTACCAGATTTTTGCAGTCAGAAACCTTATTACTGAGCGCACCTCGCAGCTCGCGGGATTTTCAATTAACGCAGACATTTCAAACCGTCACATATCTGAACGGAAGCACAGCACGAACCTCTCACTAGCACGGCTAGATGCAGACTGAGCTGCGCAACGCTCTGACCCCAAGATGGCCGCGCTAGCCCCGCCCCTAGCGGACACAGACGGAAACGTAATCTACTTCCTGGATGGCCCTCGTAGATAAAATTGATAAGGTTATTTTATTGAAGCTATAATTTTTTTTCATTTGTTTTTGCAGTATAATTTTTTTTTCACACTACTGTTTTTATTGAATATAATGGTATAGTTTTGAAGGAAGTTTTTGAATTTTTATCATTTAACAGTATATATTGCTTCATATGTTCCTTGGCAAACCAATTATTGTATTTTGGTTATTGTAGCACTTTAAAATTATAAGTTTGCTAATTGTTTATCATATTTTGAGTTAAAAAAATTATCTAAAAAGACATACACAGAATCGCTAAAAAAATAATGGTAGATAACCATTGTGTATTGCCAAAGGGGTGCACGATGGCAAGTTTGTGCAATTTTTTGTTTTATGTTTTTTCAAGTGAACTCAGTTTTATTTTTTAATATATTGTTGCGAGATAAATAACTCAGTGGTTTCATTGGACTGAGATTAAAGGTTTATTTAGAAATCATAGAAAAAGATAAAGTTCAACATAGATGGTTTGGTGCAATAAAACCACTGATAGCAATTACAGCTACTAAACTTATAAGCGACATACTACTCAGTTCACTTAACTGCATTCACTTACCTGTAACTAGACATTTCCTCTAAACAAGACTAACTGGATCCTTATTTATATATGTGTAGCTCACTGAATCCCCCAGTCAGTATTGATTGATTTCATGGACTTGGAGATGAGCTATACATGCTTTGCATATAACTTTTAAACATGAAATAATACTTCTTGCATAGAAAATACTGTGTGATTATATTCACAACACCCATCCTTAATCACACATTCAAAAACTAAATTATGGTAACTTTAAACCATGCAAAAGTAAATGTTAATTCAGTTTAACCTTGGATAATGATTAACATGTTAGCAATTTCTGCACTTAAACAGATGAACTCAGTTTTGCTTTTACACACATACGGATAAATATATGTTCAAAATATATGTGTTTCAATGCATCTGAATCATTTATGTTCAGCATGTACTTAATGCATGATTGCTTATCCTCAAATATTGTGGTATTATTAATATCAGTGATTTCACTAACTACTGATTTCAAACATAATAAATGTGGAACACCTTTTGCTAAGGGATCTCAGCTTCTATTGAGGAATCATTTATTATGATAACATTGACTAAAACTGATTTTCTATCATTATGGTTTACCCACCAATCTTCATCTACATACATAGCTAAATGAGAAATCTTATTATGCTTTGAATACATCAAATTCACTTTAGCTGTTCCTCTGAGACAGCGAAGAATTCTGTTAAGTGAAATTAACTGTTAACCATGTGGAATCAGTAGGATTTTCTTGCAATTGGCTTAAATAATTCACTGCATAAAAAATATCTGGTCTAGTCATGTAAGATACATACATTAATGAGCCAACTAGTTCTCTATAAGAACTTTTTTTTTTTTTAATCAGCTGATGTAGATTTAGTTTCAATCGGAGAACATACTTTGCCATCAAAAAACTGCAAGATGCAAGATTCTTGATCTAAAAGTAATTTATTTTGTGTGAACTTAATTCACATTCCTAGAAATTCAGAAACTGTTCCAAAATTGGACATCTTAAATTCTTTAGTTAAGAGCTCAATAATTACACCAAGTTCATAATTATCTGATCCAGCAATTAGTAAGTCATCCATATAAAGAGCAGTAATTACCTTTGAGCCACTGTTTTGGCAAATAAAAATACAAGACTCACTCTTTAATTGCTTAAAACCTAATTCTGCTATAAAATTGAGAAATTTTTTAAACAATAATCTAGGTGCCTGTTTCAATCTGTATAAACTCTTTTTAACTTTATGGTTTTTATCATTGTGGTCGTCATAATATTTTGGTTGATTCATGTACATAACTTCTTTTAAATCAGCATTTAAAAATGCAGTTTTGACATCTGATAAACACATTTAGATTTTTTCTAGAATAATCATCAGAATGAAACTTAAAGCAGACATATTAATGAAAAGTAAATAACTATTGTTATATACTTTGGTGTTGCATGAATCCATGAGCCAACAATCAAGCTTTATAGTCATCTCATTTTCTTGTTTAAATCCATTTACATATAATTGATTTTTTCCATGTAGTAATTCTTTGAGAACAAAAACTCTTTCCATACTCTAAATTTTTTTATTAGTAGTGTTTGTTCTTCTTCCAGTGATAGTGATATATCTTCGTAGGATAACATTTCTTGATTAGCAGTCATGGCTTTATACACTTATGTCTCATGATACATAATTGGTGGCTTTTTCGTACTTGACAGTCTTCATCTTCAGTTTTCTCACTGTGTGGCATATCTACATCGCTTATATCTTTGATAACATTTTCATATGTATCTTCCATCTCATAACCTTCATTTCAGTTTTAGGAAAAATCAGATTCTGGAAAATAAACTTTCTATCATCATTCCTCAAATTTTCTTCATTGAACTTAACTTTTCTGGATACCATAATGCGCTTTGTCACTGGATCCGTTAAACGATGCACCATGGTCAAATATCTAACAAATATAATTTTCTTTGACTTAGCATCTAATTTTCTTCAATGGCAGGCAGGTATTAACATAGGCATCACAACCAAATATGTGAATGCTTTTCAAATTAGGATTTTTATCATCTTTTAAGCTGTAGGGCATATTGTTCTTAATAAACATATTAGGAATTCTATTATGAAGATATGCCTATGGTTAACACACTAGCTCCCTAGATATACTTTGGAAGTTTTGATTCAAAAGTCAGACACCACCCTGTCTCCAGCAGGGTCTGATTAGCTTGTTCTGCAAAACTGTTTAACAGTGAAGTATGTGGAGGAACTGGATCAATTATAACACCACATTGAAAAACAAATTTTACTAGTTCTTTGCTTAAATATTCTTTGGCATTATCTCCTCTAATTTTCCTTATGGAAGGATTTTAGGAAAGTTTTCATCTCAACTATCACATCACTTTTTCTCTTCAGAAAACAAACTTCAGTAAAGTGTGAGAAATCATCAATGATGGTCATGAAAAAATAATTCTCACCCGCTTGTGTAGTTACCATAATTGGACTGCATACATCTATGTGTATTGTAACCATTGGTTTTATTTCTTTCCCAACAATGTAGCACTCTATTTGGTATAAGTACAAATTTCGCAGAACAGTTCCGAGTTTTTTAAATATCGGACTGGAACTTTGACCCAGTGTACAGCGTCACAAATTAATATCACTTTCTTTTGTTTCTAATGTTACTTTAATAAGCAGGCACAAAATCACTAATATATTTGCCTCAATTATCTCGATAGCCAAAAATATGTTATTGCTATTGTTAACAAACAATAAACACTTTTTTTATCCATAAAATTTGCACTGAAACTTATGGCTTCAATATTTTGCACTGAAAGTAATTCACCGTTCAAATCTGGTATAAAAAGCACATT